CACACACACATGTCCACTTTACACCGCCCTCCGACCCCCAATCTTTTATGCGTGCCTAGTTTTACTCACACACAGGAAGAAATAACTCATGAATATTCAAGTGTCTCTGTTACTTTATCCCACTCATCCCAGACAATCAAGTACGCAAACTACACAACGAACATCACAACACGCAGCCTTTGCTCAAGAGGTTCAACTGGGGAAAACCCAACTCAGAAATTCGGTTAACCAAAAATTCGGTTAACCGATGCAAATCCTAATTTGTGTTTCCAAGGATGACTGGTTTTAGGAGCTTGAGATTAAAATTTCTACAAATTGTTTTTTTCTGTATAGAAAGGTTCTGGAAACTATTTCACGAAATAACTCTTGAGGACGGGCCTATGGGGGCAAAACGGGAGACAAAATGTAGAAGAAAATTAAATTTTTATATGTTTTAAGTTCATCAGTGAATCTTTGTCAAATTTAGGTTTTTTTGTGTTTTTAAAAAGTTATTACTTCATTTTTGATGTACCCATTTTTGTCTAACCAAAATTCAATGCGGAAGCATCTTTGAAAATAACTCTAGATCTTTAGTTTGCCAATAGTTCTGGTAAAAATAGATTACAACCCGCCATTTTTAGGAGAATAATTTATGTTATAAGTGTCTTTCTCACACTACGTCACAAGGACTCATGTGTGACTCAAAAGAGAGTGAAGACCCCGGATGCGATGCGAAAAGTAGGTCAAGTAAGGTGTTAATGGAGGGCTCTACTTTACTTTTCTCTATTTTCCTATAATATTATTGTTTCCCAAATCTCGGAAGCGAAAATGTTTCGGTTGATTACAAATTGACAGCTTTGCTCAGTAGACATGTACTCCTTTTTAAAAAAAATACAATAAACAGTAGTTTTTTTGTATCGAGATATTTTTCCATCGTGTGTATATATTGCTTATTTGAATTATGCTTGTATGATCTGCAAACAATTTAAAAAAATCAGCAACAACCAAAATAAAGCCAACAAACAAACAATCCAAAAACAGAGTAGCCAAAGAAGTATCCAGTTTAGTTTTTTCGATGCTCTGTAAAGTAACAATAAATGGATGCCGTAGTCCAGTAGTTTGTGAGCCCAGGCGGTATATATTTTTGTGATGTGGTGTTTAGGTTTTGG